CTTCACTCTTCAACACACCGGTGGGCTAAAGTAGTGAATTATTTGTCTTTTTGTCAACGTGACACTTTTTTTGCTGATTGGCCGTGTCGGGTGGTGGAGGGTTACGACACATTTATAAATAAACGCGATCTAACCCAAAAACCTTTATTATGAATAGAGTTGACTGTCCCGGATTTTTTAGGTAGGGTCTTGTGGGGACATTTATTAATTGAAACATGTTAAATTCATCTGTAAAATTTGTGGCCACGGCCGGCGGGTTTAGCCAATTCCAATTTAGATCACCCACTAAAATTATTTCACCTTTAGGGAGGCCCCCAAAAAGCTCTCTCAGTGCCGATGCAGCTTCAACATCCATCCCACAAGGTGGTCTAGAGCAGCACACTACCAATATCTGTTGATTATTTGGGAGAGTTATTCTGAGAGCCAAACCTTCAAAGCAACATTTTTTAAACAAGGAGTGAGCTGGTGAACATGCAATAGTGTTACGAACATAGATGGCAATTCCACCTCCTTTAGATCCTCGGTCAAGCCGAAAAAGGCTGTAATTTTCAATCGTAATCTGCAAGTCATTAACGGCAGGAGTGAGAAATGTTTCTGTTAGGCAAAAAATGTCCGGGTCAAGATTTGCCACTTCTAGTTTTAGTTGACTTAATTTAATCACAAGCCCTTTGATGTTGACATTTAGAACACCAACACCTTTCCTGCCAGAAAAATCTACAGAATTATACGAGTTATTTTCATTTGGGCCAGGATGAAGCTCAATACCACCCAGAAATAAGAAAAGTAGAATTAACAGTTTGCATAAGTATTTTCTGTGAAAGGATGAAGAGCGGTGAACCTTGGACGAATAGCAGCAGCTCGCAGATGGTGTTATTTTTAAGAGCAGAATGAAGTTTGGAAGGAGTGCTGGTGAAGTAATGGGACAAAGATAGGGTTTAAAAGGATACAATGATGGAGTGTAGAAGTGTCTATGAGCTGTTTCATTTGCAGATGTAGTGGCAAATCGAGCAACAACTATTGATGCAAAATAACGTGGGTAGCCGTTTGTAGAGTTGAGTGTGGCACTAGATATGGCCGGGAGGGACAGCAGTACGATACACAGCAGGAGAATTGCCATCTTTAAAATATCCAGGGTATACACAGATTTACACACAAGTGGAATAGAAAATATATATACTTGTGGGCCGAGCGTGAGAAAAACGTCTTGCCGCACTCGTCACACATGCACGGCTTCTCGCCCATGTGCTAGGGTTTAACAGCGCCCACCCCCCCCCCGCCCCCCCCCCCCCCAGACAGCAGATTCTTGGCTGTTGTGGGCTCGGCTGAAAAATGCTTGCACCGCCTCCTTTCCCCGCCGCAGGATGGTGCTCGAGTTAGCCCTCCTTGTGCTCAGCCCATGACTGGAATGTCGTTTCCTGGCCTCTCGTGTCTCTGCTGCCCGTCCAGACGGCCCCAGTGAAGCCCACACAGGTGACTCTTCATTCACGACCGTTGGCCGTCTCGAACGATCTCCGTGAAGTTGTCCAGGATGGAGCGCACGTCGACTTGAGCCGCTTGTTGAACGACTGCAGCAGCGCCTCCTTGCTCTGGGACAGCGCCCGTGACATCTCAGGGCAGCAGTGGACGTAGCACGGCACTCCCTCAGGGCAGCAGTGGACGGAGCACAACCCTGCCTCAGGGCAGCAGAGGAGAGAGAGAGTCTGGCTCCCTCCAGGCAGCAGTGGACGGGGCACGACCCTGACTCAGGGCAGCAGTGGAGAGAACACGGCTCTCCCTCAGGGCAGCAGCAGAGAGAGCACGACCCCGCCCCAGGGCAGCAGTGGACAGAGCACGGCTCTAGCCCAGGGCAGCAGTGGAGAAAGCACATCTCTCCCTCAAGGCAGCAGTGGACGGAGCACGGCTCTCCCTCAGGGCAGCAGCCGAGAGAGTGCGGCTTTCCCTCAGGGCAGCAGTGGACGGAGCACGGCTCTCATGTATAGTTGGTTCTTTTATGGAGACAGAGACGTTGAGGTAGAGGCAACACGGTATGTTTATTTTTAACTACAGCAACTCCTATACGCCCCCGACCGAGCCAAGGTATGGGTCCGACCACTGGTCCAAGCTCGACCCGGCCCTTACAAGGGCAGCGGGCTCGAGGTCCCAGGGTCATAGTCTAGCTGGTCTCCAGTCTTCAGTCTTTAGTCTTCATAACAGAGCCCTCAACCTGCGTAGAGGTCCGCCCTTTATACACCTCTCCGGTGTGTCAGCCTCTGGCCACGCCCCCTTTCCAGGATGGGGGGATCCCGGGGGATCCCAGGACACCCCACAGCCCCCTCCCTCCCGGGCTGGGGATCGTTACAATCTCCCCGCCAGCTCGAGGTACCGCCCCTGATGGGCACTGTCCGCCATTGCGGGTAAGTGCAGCCCATCTACAGTGCTACACATGCGCGTACACGATCCGACGCTACATCATCACCCCCCCCCCCCCCCCAATGTAGCATTCAGCCGTCAAGGCTGTCAAATACAATATCAACAATAAAAAAAAAACTTATACCAACAACCCCGAGTCCGTGTGCCTCAAATCACAACACAACAGCAGAGAACAGTACAACAACAATATATAACCCAACCCCCCTGCACAATATACACTATGAACAATATATACATGAATTACCAGCCCAGCTCTGTGGATGCGAGCCAAACCAACCCCGACAAGAAGGCGAAGTGAAATAAAAAAGTCTTCTGAAAAAGTTTTTCATTTGGACCGGGTCCTGGCTGACGGTCCATTGTACACCGCAGGAGGAGTTTTTGTGTTCGCCGGAAGCTTAGGGTAGTGACCTTGAAGTGAGTCATCAGCTGGGCATGAGGCGATCCTCGTGGCCGGAGCAGTGCCCCGTGGCGGCGTTACTGCCAAAGGGTCTGAGGGGGCAAGCACACGGCTAGACTGAAAGTTAGGCTTGGCAACCGCACAACTCGGCTCGTCGGACACATCACGCTCTCGGTCCTTGCGTGTAGTGGGAGTATCAAGGAAAGGTAGAAAAGTTTTTAGGCGCGACGGGTGCACAAACCAGCAGCGTTTACCATGGTGGACTTTTACACATTGGGGCCGGATGACTTTTACGACATCGACAGGCCCCCTCCAAGGTTTTAAAGGTTTGGGTGACGTGGACAGGGGTACAGGAGGACAGTGAAGCCACGACCTGTCACCCTCGGACCATGTATGCGAGGAAACTTTGAGACTTCGCAGGCGCTCATTAGCCAATTGGCGGGCCTCCGAATTATGCTTAGCCGCCTCCCTTGCTTCCACCAACTTGCGGACATTTGACCGAATGTGCTGGGAAAGTTTGGATTTAGGGAACCCCTGAGTGACGCGTAATTGAACATCCACTTTGTGTGTGCCCAACAAGTCGCAGACCTCTCGCAGCAGGTAAGATGACAAATTATTTCCCTGATCGGTGAGCAGCCGCTACGGAGCACCCTTATCCAGGACATAGCCCTGGAGAAAGGCCTCCATGACGACTGCCGCCGACTGGTTGGGGAGTGGCCAAGCCATAGGCCAGCGGGTGAAATATTCAACCCCAACCAGGAGGTACTTGTTACCCCTAGGAGTGACAGGGAAAGGCACGACCAATTTGTTCACTCGGGATACCTGAATAGATTGCAATGGAGGGCACGACAGATTAGAGGCAGGCTTTCGTCGAGCGCACTGGGTACATCCCTGAAGCAAGGTAGCAATGTCCCCTGACATACTCAGCCAAAAAAAGTCCACACTGAGCGTTGCAAGGGTTTTCTAAACCCCGAGGTGCAACAAACGCTCGTGTGTGTCCCACACGACCCTTCCTCGCAAGGATGTAGGCTCAACCAGCTTGTACCTCAGATCGCTGCCATCCCAACGCATGAGTAGGCCGTCCCTGAGGACAAGGGAGATGGGACCCCCAGAGGCCTCCCGCCTGTAGCGCTCAGGGGCCCGACGGCGCATCGCAAGGAGGGAACTGTCCTCCAGCTGAAGGCGGCCCCACTCGATGGAGCTGAGACCCAGAAGGGCATCGGTGGCAGAGCCAGCAAGGGGGTCCGGAGGAGAATCAACTGACCCTTCGGCCGCCCCTGCAAAGGAGGAAGACGCATTAACGGTGGCTCGTTTACAGTGGCCCGACCCCGTGAAGCAGACGCATCAGTCCGGACCATACATACGCGACAGTGCATCAGCGTTGCCATGGCGGACGCCCATCCGGTAAACGACCATGAAGGAAAAGTCCTATAGGACCTCCAACCATCGGGAAAGCTGGCCTGATGGCGGATCAACCTTAAGGGCGTTTTGTAGGGCAGCATGATTGGAGCGCACGGTATACTCTCTCCCGTACAGGTAAGGCCGGTATTGTTGAATATTATATACAATAGCCAGCAGCTCTCGGCGGGTAACACAATAGCGTTGTTGGGCAGGCGACAAAACCCGACTGCCATAGGCGATGCCGTCGACGATCTAGGACAACACCCCCCCCCCCCCCCCCAATGCCGGTATTGCTGGCGTCCGTATCCAGCAGGAAGGACGCGGAGAAATCAGGGTAACTCAGGGGAGGGGCATTCACCAGACCGTCGTGGAGAGCGTCGAACGCAGCCTGTTCAGCCGGCTCCCACTGGAATTTCGCTCCCTTAGCCATAAGTGCGTGGAGTGGTTTGGCGATTGACGCAAAGCCCACACTGTATAACAATAACCCTATGTCTCCTTACTTTGGGCCACCCTTTTTAACAAAAAAACGTGTGTTATGACTTTTTGCCAACCTTGTATAAATAACCCTACGTGAAGGGACGAGACTGTCTGTCCTACCAGACAGTCTCGTCCCTTCACCTGATGAAGGCCGCTTGTGTTGTGGCCGAAACGTCGTGAGAATATTATTGTGTTATTTTATTTTATCAATTTATTATTTTATTCTCATTCTACGTGACTTTACCGAAAGAACCAAAGAAGATGAATCATTGCAGTCACGAAAGCTTTAAATCGAAATATAATCTATTAAGTGGGAGGGGTAAACTGGCTAGTGACGTCATGTCATCTCCCCCGCCGCGTTAATCCGCGTGACGTCACGAAATCCCGGAAAGCTGCTCGCCACTGAACTGGGATCCGAGGTGAGAAGTTCACATCGTGGTGGTGGTCGTGGTTTTTGGTGGTGGTTGTTGTTTATTTAGGTGCAGCCTCGCTTCTTCGATTGTTCTCCTGGGGATCTCAATTGAATGTAGCAGCGGGTATGGAATAGACGTCCAGGTTGGAACGTTACAAAGTGTGGCCTAGCCATGCTGGGCTTGCCTCCTGCCATCGCCTGATTGTATTTGCTTTGATTTTTGTTAATTTTTATTTATCCTCACCTGGCTGACTACTTGAAAACCATGTTTTAAACAAAAACAAATTATACTATTTTGAGCTCTATATCTTTCAGAAGCGACCTGCTCACAACGAAATGGCTTGTGTGTAAATTTACATCAGCCAAATACTCTAAATGCGACCACGCAGAAAGAGAGACACGCAAACTCCAAATAAACACGCGTCAGCGTCGGGATACAACCCACAACCTCCTGTATATCGGGCGATGTAGTGCAAATCTCGCCAGCTAGGTGCACACTAGAGTGCTTTATCACACTGAGTCTCTTTACTTCAGTTCAGGAGCGTCCTGCCGAGTTGGTTTGGCAGTCGGGGGGAGGGGCGATGCTTTTTCGCGTATTCCTGATCGAGTAAACTGGAGGCATTTCTCTTCTTTGGTTCTTTCGGTAAAGTCACGTAGAATGAGAATAAAATAATAAATTGATAAAATAAAATAACACAATAATATTCTCACGACGTTTCGGCCACAACACAAGCGGCATTTGTTCAGCATTGCAATATTTGGACGATACCAGTCCAGAAGTTTATTTCAGAGTCAGAATAAGTTTATTTTCCGAGTGAAGTCCATTGAACTAAGAAACTTATTTTCAAGGGCGACTCAGCCGGCAGACATCAAAGCATTTAATTATAATTAAGCTCACTCACTGGCCCACTCATCCATCCACTCACTCATCCACCCTCCCACCCACCCACTCTATAACTCGCTCACTCATCCATCCACTCGCTCATCCACCCACTCGCCCACACAAGCACACTCACCTACTCACACTCTCCCACTCGCACTCTCACTCGCCCTCCCACTCGCCCTCCCACTTACCCAAACTCACTGGCCCACTCAGTCAGAAGTGAATTTCACGAGTAACACCCATTGAGCTTAGACGCTATTTTTGTTAAGGGCGATATGGCAGGCAGACATCAACGCATTTCAAAATTACAGGTTTACTAAAGAAACTTAATAGCAATTCTGTTGTAAAATTACATTCCCACTGAAACTTTAGTGATTATTAGAGTCAGTTTAAGCGAGGTTTTAGATGGCAGAATTGAGATGCCAAAAACGAAACGTGGTTCCAAACCTTTGGGCAGTGAAATCTGGAAAACTTAACAAACATTCGGGCATACAGGAACCCCTAGACTCGCACAGAAACCCACAGACTTGCACACAGACCCACAGACTCACATAGACAATCAGATGCACGTCGCAGATTTTTCGGATTGTCCAATGGTTTAATAACTAAAATAAAGAGCACATCTTTGGAAACATTCTTGTAAATAAAAATATCACGTGGTTGATACAGACATGATGTTTGTGTTAAATTATACCACAAGAATGTGTGATTAATGCAGACTTAATGCTGCCTTGCAATAGGTATCTGTTTTCAAATTGGACGATGTACTTTATTCATTTCTATTCATTTTTTCGTGAATTGCTTACCTTTCGATTTAATGCTTTCGTGAGTGCAGTGATTCATATTCTTGGTTCTTTCTGTAAAGTCACGTTGAAGGGAAACAAAACAATAAAACAAATATATAAAACAATATTCTCACGACGTTTCAAATCGCTCTCCGTGGTGCTAACGTTTAGAAATAATTAAATACATTGGTACAAACCGCCACTTCTTTCAAATGTTCTTGCCGATGGTTTTCACACCTGATGATAACTGCTTGTGTTGCAGTCGAAACGTCGTGAGAATTTTATTGTTTTATATATTTGTTTTATTGTTTTGTTTCCTTTCAACGTGACTTTACCGAAATAACCAAGAATATGCTTACCTTTCATCTATTTTTCACTCCTATCGTTTTTTGTATGTTGAACTTCTTTCACACCGTACGTATCCAACCATGTTTGTTTTTGTAACTTTCTGACCCGCCTCGACTGGACACCTGTGACATTCCTCCAGAAGACAGATTCTGATTTTAAAGATTCTGATCTTAACACCTGTCTTATTGCCGAAAAGGTTGAAGCCTTTTCTTCTTTCATCAAAATAGTTGCATCATACATTTGTAAAGGAGTTCCCGACGACTCACTCGGAGGCTAAGGTAAGGTAGGGGCTTCCGCCAAGGTTTTATTACAAATCTTTAACAATACACAGGGGTGAACAACTCCCCAGGGGTTAGGGGTCCCGGGCTAGGTCCCGACACAGCCGGCTGCCCTGTGCTGTCTCCTCTGCCCCGGCCGTGGGATCAACCAACACGGCCGAGCGAGGAGCACAGCCACGTCTAGCCTGGCACTGTGCTCTCCCCTATCCCTACCCTCTTGCCCCTGGCTCGCCGTTCCACCCTTCTCCGACCCTACTCTCCAGCTACGACCCCGCTTACATCACCGGGTCCCCCTTTTATCCTTCAGGAGCCGTGACGTCACTCTGCTGCCCCGAGCGCATGACGTGACGTCATCGCCCTGGACAGCACAAGTGATGCCACTTCCCCATTCTACTCCTCTACATTACCCCCCCCTGTGAAAAAAAACAGCCGACCCGGCTGCAAGAAAACCCCAACCTTAGGGCAGCACGGCATCCCAGGCATCACAATAACAACAACCAAATGAACGGGAAAAAGTAAGACGGCTTATTCCGGCCGGCAGTGCCGAGCGGGCGCCGGGGCTGGGTCCGACGAACGGCCGCCCAGGCCATCACCGGAGCCGCCTCCCCCTTGAATGGGTATGCGCTGCCGGCCCGCTTCCTCGTGTGGCGTCTGCCGCCGGTGCAGGTGGGCTGTCCGCAGGCAACAGGCCCACCGCCGTAGCCTCCGGTGGCCGGGGAGTCCCCGCCGGCGCTACTTGGAAGGGCCCTGGGGGCACACAAACAGGGCGAACGCCGCCCCCGTCAACAGGACCCGGCCGGACAGTCACGACGGACGCATCACCCGCCGGCCGCCCCGGAGTTGGGGGTGGATCCCCCAGGGTAGATGGAATATAGCGTTTGAGCCGGGACGGGTGCACTATCCACCGCCGGCGTCCGAACCGAATCCGGACGCACTGCAGCCGGGGGACTTCCACGACCTCAACGGGACCCTGCCAAGGGCGGTGCAATTTGGCAGATGTGCCAACCGAGACCTGGGGACAATGCAGCCACGCTTTCTGGCCCGCTACCCACGGGAGGCCCGCTGCATGGTGTTTGGGCAGCCGCTCATTAGCCGCCTGCCGGCCGGCGGAATTCTCAGCAGCAGCCTGCCGTGCCTCGCGCAGCCGGTCAAGCGCGACTTTCAAAGGGACCGGCACAGCCGACCCCTTCCTGGAGGATCCCACGTCCAGTTGGACGTGCACCGGGGGCTCCGGCTTCCTCCCGTACATTAAATAAAAAGGCGAAAATCCCGTTGAGGCGTAAGGAGCCAACCGATACGCTTCCAAGACCCCCGGGACGAACAGGTCCCAGTCCGATTGAGACGTGTTCACATGGTGGCACAGCATGGAAGTGAGGGTGCGGTTCAAGCGCTCTACCATCCCGTCCGATTGGGGGTGGTAGGGGGAGGTGCGGATTTTCTTGGTGCCAAGGAGGTCACACACCTCCTTGAGTAGCTTAGACGAGAAATTCCGCCCCTGATCCGTCAACAATTGTTCCGGCGCACCCTTGTCCAACACGTACCCCTGGACGAACGCCTCGGTGATAGAAGAGGCCGACTGATCGACCAAAGGCCACGCCACAGGCCAACGTGTGAGGTACTCAACGTCCACCAAGAGGTATTTATGGCCCCGTTGGGATGCAGGGAATGGGCCCAAGATGTCGAGCGCCATGAGTTCATTAACGCGAGAAACCTGGATGGACTGCAGCGGGGCCCGGTCCTGGACAACTGGGGCCTTCCTCCGCGCGTAGTCGTGGCAACCCTTCAAAATCAGTGGCACGTCACCCTCCACACCTGGCCAGTAATAGTCCCGCTTAAGGGTCAATAGGGTCTTGTGGTAGCCAAGGTGCATAAGCTTCTCGTGAATGGCTCGGGTTAATTTACCACGTAGGCTAGTGGGCACAACCACGCAATAGCGTTCCAATTGGGCATCCCAACGCATGAGGAGTCCGTCATGCACGGCGATCGCTGGGGCCGCCGACGAAGCTGAACCCCGGGCCGTACGTCCGACGCGTCGCCGTAGCTTCAGCAGAGAGGAATCCTCCATCTGCAAGCTGGACCATACCTCCCGGGGGAGTCCCAGGCCGAAATCTGCGGATGTCGCCGCACCCGGGGGGGTGGCCGTCGCGGCCGACGCGACCAACTGGGCCGCGACGTCCCCTGGGGCCTTGCAACGGCTAGAGCCCAGGGCGCAAGCACACCTGCTGCCTGCCGGCAATCTGGACAAACCGTCCGCATTTTTATGCAGTGCCCCCTTTCTGTGGATTACGTCAAAGGGGTAATTCTGGAGCACCTCGAGCCAGTGGGACAGCTGACCCGAGGGCTGACCAATCCTCAGCGAATATTGCAGGGCCGCGTGGTCGGTTCGGACTGTAAACCGCCTACCGTACAAGTAGGGCCTATACAATTGAACAAAAAAAACTGTGGCCAAAAGCTCCCTCCGAGTCACGCAGTATCGCTGTTCCGTCGGAGGCAGAACCCGACTGCCGTAGGCTACCACCCTCTCCACCCCGTCGACCACCTGGGCCAGGACTGCCCCAATGCCCATGTCGCTGGCATCGGTGTCAAGCAGAAAGGGCTTCGAGAAATCGGGGTACCCCAAGGGCGGCGCATCCGCCAAGGCCGTGCGAAGCGTTGCAAAAGCAGCCTCCTCCTCCGCGCCCCAGTAAAACCTTTGGCATTTGGCGGAGAGGGC